GACTGACTACATGTGTGCCAGGAGAGCCACAGCCCGGAAAGCAGCATCCCGCAGAGGGCCATGGGGGGCTCGTGCCGAATCCCAGCGGCCTGGACGAGAGGCCCGGAAGTCAGCACTGCAGCCACGGCTCAGCGGCAGAGCCTCTCTGCTCAGCACACGGAAGGTCCCCGTCCCGGTCCCGTCGGCACCTCCCATGAAAGGGCCAAGCCAGAGGCGACCAGAAAGACCTCTCCCCCTGCCCGAGGCCCTGGAGAGGTCTGACTCAGCCGCAAAGGTTCAGATCAGCGCAGGGCAGGGCAGCCCGGAGCACGCCTCACTCAGCCACCGGCATCCATGGGAGGCATCGGAAAGGAAGGAAAGGAGGCCAGAGCCCCACTAGATCCAATTCAGCCGGATTCCAGTCCAGGTTCACCTTTGGAACCGACAGGATTTCCGAGGATGAGCTTCTGCGAGTCAGCACTCCCTTCTTCAGATTCCGGCTACTGACTCTTGAAAGCACCCGCCCCACCCCCCGAAAGTCTCGTTGGTCTTGAAGAAGGTGCGCCTGGACTGGTGCAGTGGTTAAGTGTGCTGACTCCAATCTGGGAGAACCAGGTTTGGTTCCCCACTCCTCCTCCACTTGCACCTGCTGGTGTGACCTTGGGCAAGCCATAGTCCTGGCACAGCTGTTCTTGGAAAAGAGCAGTTTTTGTCAGAGCTCTCTTAGCACCACCTACCTCAGCGGGTGTGTGTTGTGGGGAGGGGGAGGGAAGAAGAAGAAGAAGAGATTGGATTTATACCCCCTGGCCCTTCACTACCCAAAGGAGTCTCAGAGTGGCTGACAGACTCCTTCCCCTCCCCCTCCCCCTCCCCACAACAGACAGGCACCCTGTGAGGTAGGTGGGGCTGAGAGAGCTCTGGACAGAAACTGCTCTTTTTTCAAGAACAGCTCTGACAGAAGTATGGCTTGCCCAAGGTCATCCAGCCAGGTGCAAGTGGACGAGTGGGGAATCAATCTCCCAGATTAGAGTCCGCGCGCTTAACCACTACGCCAAAAAGGGGATTGTAAGCCGCTCTGAGACTCCCTTGGGTAGTGAAGGGCAGGGTACAAATCCAACCTCCTCTTCCTCTTCTGCCGCAGACCAGTCGGGCTGCCCTCTGGAGCCAGAGCCAATTACATGGGAAAGGGGGAAAGGGGAGTGGCGGTGGGCATAACCAGGACCACTTCCCCAACACAGGCGGGTCCGTCACCCTGCCTGCCCGCCCGCCTGCCCCCCCCGGGGGGGAAGAGGTGACCCAGAAGCACCACGCGCCGACTGCCAGCCTCTCCTGCTCGCGCCAAAAGCCTCCCAGGCACCAGAGGCTCAGCTGAGCAGGGCCCGGGCGGGACAGGCCAGGCCGGGCCACTTTGGGCTCCTCTCCCCATCCAGCAGGCTGTGGGCCCAGAGGCAGGAGCCGTGCAGGAGCCCTTCGGGTTCAACGGGCCAAGCCCAGCTGCACACGTGCACTCCACAAACACACCTCCCTGCCCTTGGCGGTCCACTCACAGCCCTCCGCTCTGGGTGCGAGTCACGGACCGGCTGCCGCTCTGGGGGCTCTTTCGAGGGGGGAATTCCGCCCTGGTTTGTTCACTTATTTATGCGGTTTTTACCCCACCCTCCCCCGCAAGCAGGCTCAGGGCGGGTTACGGGACAGCAGCGAGGCACACAGAAACAGGTCCACGTCACCACAGTTAAAAACGAAAACCCCACTTGAACTACCTGATGGCGAGACTCACAGAGATACAGCTGTGTGTCACCCCAGGATGGGCCGTGGAGAGAACTGACTGTGCCCAGCCCAGCCCAGCCCCCCCGCTCCCGCTAACAGGACAAGGGAGCCCCAGAATTAGCCTGGCTGGTTGGGGAAGGGGCTGGCGGGAGCAGAGGAGCCCAGATGTCAGGAGACCCCAAGGCCTGGCGTCTCCGCTTCACAGGCCCCGGGGGGGAGTGCAAGAAGTCCCACGGGGCCCTGGTCTCTCAACAGCTCCACCGGGGGGGGGCAGAGCCGAAAACGCTCTGCCTCCGGCTGGGGTTGGGCCCGTGTCTCTTGGGCCGGGGACTATCAGCAGGTGCCGTTCAGCCGAGTGTAAAAGGCTCTTCGGGGAACTTAGCGGGAGAGGCGGCCCCACAGGTACGTTGGCCCCTGACCGCACAGGGCTGTAAAGGTCAATCCGGCATACGACTGGCAGCTAAGGCAGCTGGGGAAGCGCTGGCTGGACGGGCGCCCGCACAGACCTCCTGGGCCAGGAGGCACACCGCTGCATTTTGCATCAACCGGAGCTTCCGGGTCAGGTTCAAGGGTGGCCCCGCACAGAGTGAATTGCAGTAATCCCGTCTGGAGGTGACCACTGCATGGATCACCATAGCCAAGTTGTGGGGGGAGAGACAAGGAGCCAACCGCCTGACCAACTGAAGAAGGTCAGAGGCTGATCGGGCAGGATTCGTAACCCGGGCCTCCGTTGAAAGTGAGGCATCCAGAGCCACCCCTGAACCCCCCAACGTTGGTGCTGGCACTAAGACCGGATTCCTGGGAGGGGGGGGGGAACCCCACAACGTAGACACAGGACCTCCGTCTCCAATGGACTTCGTTTCAGCTGACTCTGCTGTAACCAACCAGCCACGGCCTCCAAAGCCTCAGCCAAAATATCTGGTGCAGAGTCCGGTTGACCATCTATCAACAGAGACAGATGGGTGTCATCAGTGTACTGGTGCCCACCAGTCTCTCTCTCAGCTGTGTGGAGTCTGGTGAGCAAAAATTCTACTTGGTGAGCTCCGGGCATTAAAGTTGTGAGCGAGCAATTCGGCCACTGCATAAATTAGTCTGCTCTGGAGCCCCTCCTTCCTGAGCGGAGACAAAAATGTGTGAGCTGGAGGCTAAAAACCTGTGAGCTGGCTCACACTAACTCAGTTTGGAGGGAACATTGGTGACAACCCAGCCCAAACCCCCAGTTAACTGGGCAAGAGGGCACATAGAGATGCCGAACAATATCGGGGAGAGGGTCGCCCCCCGGGGGATGCCGAGACCCCCTTCTCCCCAAGCGCCACTCTCTGTCCCCGACCATGGAGAAACGAGACCAGCCACGGCAAGGCTGTCCCCCCAGTCCCACCCCCCGTGTCGGCGAGGTGGTGGGCCATCAGGCGGTAGTCAACCATGTCAAACGCTGCTGTCAGGTCAAGCAGCGGCAGCACTGACCCACCTCGATACAGGTGTCTCCGGAAGGTATCTGTGAGGGCAACCAATGCGGTCTCCGTCCCCTAGCCGGGGCGGACACCAGACTGGAATGGGTCCAGGACAGAGGTGTCTTCCAGAAAAACCCTGGAGCTGTTCCCCCACCGCTCTCTCAACTGCCTTCCCCAGGAGCAGAAGGCTTGACACTGGGTGGAAGTTGGCAGTGACGGTTTTCTCAAGAGCGGTCTCACCACTGCCTCCTTTAGAAGCCCAGGGAAGGTCCCTGAAGACAGAGACAAGCTGATCGTCTCCCGCAGGGGAGCCCGGATTCTGCCACCGCTGGCCGGAGGCCAGGGGGGGGGAGGGGAGGGGGCTTCACAGCTGCAAGGATTCTGTTGACCTCCTCCTCAGAGAGTCGGCTGAACTGGTCGAAGATCAGAGCAGAAAAGGGCAAAGGGGCCTCCAGCTCACTTACTGTTTCAACCGTGGCCAGCAGATCCTGCCGGAGCGACATGCTCTTGTCCGCAAAATAGCTCAAAAAGGCCTCGCAGCTAATAGCCAATTCCCTGCTCTTTTGGTTTCCCTGTGGAAGGGAAGTTAACAATCGGATTATACTAAAGAATTGAGCTGGGCGAGAGCTTGCGGAAGCAATAGAAGATGCACAGAATTCCTTCTTAGCGGCTTTCACAGCCATCTCTTGCAGCTTCATCACGATTTTGTCACCACTTTCGTTCTAACCATCTTTGCTCTCGCTTCATCCTCCACAGCTCTAGGCTGTACCTTGGGGCTGTTTTGGCACGGGGCAAAGAGGACGTCGGGAGGCGATCTCCTCAATGGCTTCTGACAGTCGGCTACGCCAATCCTCCACCAGCGCATCCAATGAGCCCCCAGGGGGCATTGGATCCCACAGAGCATTCTGGAAACCAACTGGATCCATTGGCCTCCATGGGCGAGCATCAACCTGCTCGCCACCTAAACAAGGCGGGGTTGGGATGCTGAAGCAAGCCTTCAGGGCACAGTGGTCTGACCAAGGCACCACGGCAACAGCTTCCAGACCCACACTTGTCCCCATCCCAAAAGCCAAGTCCAGCGTGTGACCTACTTGGTGCGTGGGCGCTGAAAGAGACTGGGAGAGTCCCAGTGCTGCCATGGATGACGCCAGGTCCATCTCCCGTGAGGAGGCGGCGGCACCAGCAGCAGCAGCACCACCACCAGCAGCGGCAGCAGCAGCAGCAGCGACACTGCAACCCGTTCGACCCTAAAGCAAGGGCTGAGAGCCACTCGGGTGCTCCCTGTCCTCCGCCAGTGCAGCTGGCCTCTCGGTGCCGGTCACACACAGAGAGACTCAAAGGGGCAGGCTGGGCTCTGCTGCCTTCAGAGAGGTGGCAGCGTGCACCAGCCAATGGGCACCTCCCTCACCTGACTCCCACCCCCCACTCTCTGAAGGAGCTCTCAACCGCTCACCCTCTTCTCCTTCATAGGAAAAGGCCGGCTTCACGGGGACACCCAAGTGTGCAAAACCCTTCCAGAGCCTCCTTCGGTCTGGCTCCGTTTCCAAAGATCTTTGCAGCTACCCAGTCAGCCACTGTTTCCCCAGAGCGGGAGTTCACTTTATGTACCCACTGTTCCCTTACAGAAAGGTGCATGGCCAGGCTCCTAAACCGGCCCAAATGAGCAGAATGACAGGCATGAGAACCACAAAGACCGGGAGAACATCGGAGAGCGGGTTTCATGGAGCCGTTGGATGGGAGATGGGGGAGAGGCGGGGGAGACCCACCCACCTGTCCACGGGCTCTGGTCCTTGTTGGCCGGGCTCCTCTCCAAGTCTTGCACCAGCTCTTCCGGGTCAGCCGCTGTCTCGCTGGGCCCCTCTGTGTCTTCAACTGGCTCCTCTGAAAGGCAAGGGAAGGCGAGATCAGCAAGGGAAGCGGGCCCACAACACAGCAGGCGTGAAGCCCACGGGGCTCTGCGGAGGTGCTCCGGCCTGGGCGCCCCGTTTGGCCAAGCCACCCTCCGAGAGGCCCCTCGCTCCTCCGACTCCCAGCACTGGGCAGGCTGCTGGCATGCTCGAGGAGGAAGCCCTCCCGGTGCCTGCAGTGGCTGCATGGCAGAGGGGGACGCCACCAGCGGGGGCTGCCTTGGAGGGAGGGAGGGAGGGAGGGAGGGGCTCTCGCATCTGTGGCTCCTGCAGGGTGGAAGCTGGCTCACGGCACTCGGCCATTCGCACTGGACACTGTATACCTACCACACTGGCCAGCCCCTGCTTGGAGCCCTGGCTCCCGTCCAGTTTGGGAGGCCTTTTTACAGGAAGGACGTGGAATCAGAACTGGGACTGTTCTGCCTGGCAAAGGAGAGGCAGGATCTGAGGGCTCTTTCGCGGTGTGTGTGTGTGTGTGAAGGGCTGCCGTTGAGGCTGACAGTTGCAGAAATGAACCCTCTGCACAGTCTGCTCTTCCTTCCATCTATCCGCACGGATCAGTGGGGAGCAGACCAGCACCTGGAGCCAGATGAGAGCCAGTTTGGTGTGGTGGTGAAGTGCGTGGACTCTGATCTGGAAGAACCGGGTTTGATTCCCCCACTCCTCCTCCACTTGCACCTGGCTAGATGACCTTGGGCAAGCCGTAGTTCTGACAAGAGCTGTCCTTGAAAAAGAGCCGTTTCTGTCAAGAGCTCTCTCAGCCCCACCTACCTCACAGGGTGTCTGTTGTGGGGAGGGGAAGGGAGAGGAGTTTGTCAGCCGCTCTGAGACACCTTTGGGTAGTGAAGAGCCATGGGGTATAGATCCAATCTCTTCCTTTTTTTCTTCTTCAGATCGGGCCACCGGCTGCCTCAAAGATCCTCCAGAGGTTTCACAACTCGTTGTGTAGCTGCTGGCGGAGAGGGGTCAGGAAACGGAGCCCCGGGTCACGCGGCAGCAGACGTCAGGCGGCAGGGATCTCCCAGGGAAGGTCCTGCCAACAAGCCAGCCTCAGGGGCGGTGGCCTCTGACCCTGTCCCGCCTGAGAAGCAATGCGGATACAGCACAAACCGCTCCGTTCTCGAGCCCTCCACAGCACAGGTGGTCACCCTCCCTCGTGACCAGGCCCTGTACCGCCAAATCCACAGGACACACGCGCAACAGCTTGGTTTCCAACAGGCAGGGGAGTATTTCTGTCCTGCCTTCCCCCAGGGATTCCAGGCAGCGAATCTAGGCCACTGTGGCAGAAAAGCACGATAAAAACCTTCCAAACGGCCCCCAGCACCCCTCAGAGGGCTCACTCAGGACAGCAAACCTTGTTTCAAGCCCCCTCCCCCGATCGTCTGGTTGAGCAGACGGGGTAGCCAGGGAAAGGCACCCCCTTGGCAGCGGATCCCGGGAAAGCGAGAACACCACCCTCGTGCCGCAGGGCGAGGGAGCCGGTCAAAGGAGAGCTGCTCTCATCCCCCCACCCCCACCCAACAGCATCGCTAGGGAAGGGCCAAGCTACTCGGGGGGTGGGGGCGCAGAAGAACCAAGGCGAAGGCACACGAGCACTGCTCGGCTCTGGCCTCCTCACCTATGGCCAGTCCCTGTGCCGCGCAAGCCGGGTGAGACAGGCCCTGTTTCGGCAGCCCCCTCTCTGGAAGCCCCTAACTGCTCTCCCTGCAGAGGGGGGGCCCTGACCCTTTGGGTCCGCAGAGAAGACCAGCAGCGGGCTGCAACGGTGCCCACTGCACCTCCCCCATGGCAGTGCTCTGCTGCAGAGGGCGCTTCTCTGCAGACCGGAGCAGCAGACCTGCAGGACCTTTTGAGAAGGAACATTCCTCTGCTCCAGGGCCCACGCCCCCAGGAGAGCCCCACCTGTTCATGCAGCAGAGTCTTCTTCCTCCTCCTCCCCTCCCCTCTCTCCGCCCAGCCCTCCACCCTCCTGCTCCCTCTGGAAATGGGGATCACCTGCGGCAGTGGCTGAGAAAACAAGCAAGGAAGAGGAGGGGTTCTCAACAGCGAAGGTTCTGCTCGTGCAGCCTTGCAAATGTGCTGCCTCCAACTGGGGGGGGGGGGGGGGGGGGGGGGGTTGCGCCCAGCACACCGTGCTCTGGCAGGACCCGGGAAGGAGGGGGCCCTCTGAGCCGAAAGGAGTTCGGAGCTTGCTGCCCCCCAAGACGCCCCCTCCCCCTGTTCCCTCCCCGGGCCGGGGCCTGCCTCCCTGCAGTCCCGGCAGCCACCTGGAGGGGTCACCCTCTGCCCGGCCAGGGAGGAACCCCCGGCTCTGGACTCTGGACTCCGTGGGCTCCTCTCCTCCGAAGCATGTGGAAATAATAGGCCTTTTCCAGCAGCCCGTCTGGTTCAGAGGAAATAAAATAGGACATTCATAAGCACTTACACCATCTGTCTTTATACCATCATCATCAGCAGGGGGAAAATAGCTCTTTAAAATGGATGAAAGCCCAGGCTGACAGTAACCAGGAAAATGTGAGCTCTATGAATACCCGTGCAGGTAGAAGAATGGGGGGGGGACGACCAGGATACACGCTGCGCCTTTCTCCCCTCTGCTCAGCCGCCGCCAGGTCCCAGCCAGCAAAGGGGCAGGCTGCTCCCAGGGAAGCAGGGAGGGCTGCGTCTCAGGAGAGAGAGAGAGAAAACGGCTTCGCAGCCCCCTCCCCAAAAGCAGTGGCCACAGGGAGGGGAGAAGAGCATGCCCCTCTGCAGGCCGAGGAAGCCCCTCGACAGACAGCCGGTCCCTCCCACCGCGCGAGGCCTGCTGCGGGGGAGCAGAGGGGGCCGGGAGGGGGCGCACCTTCTCCCAAGAGGGCAGGCCCCCCCCAAAGCTCCGCAGCCCAACCTCTGCTCGCCATCTCCGGCACTCACCCAGCGCCTGGCCTGGCCTGACCTGACACAACCACCACAAAGAACATGCCCCGGGCCTCCCATCACAGGACAAAAGGCCGCCCCTCCACATCCTGAGAAGCCGCCTGAAAGCCACGCACGGACCCTCCGCCCAACCCCCCCCCCAC